CATGTAAGACAACATTGGGAAAGGCGATGTGGACACTTTACTTATTACACTCTGCTTCAGTCTCCCCCTTCGCTAACAAATCTGTGTGTTTGGATTCTTCTCAAAGTGCCTTATAGACAACTCCAATGGGAATATTACTACCATCGTCAATTCACCTTCGCACAATGACAACGCAGCCAACCGGATGTTAGGCTAACCCCCACATCAGCCCCTAGGTTGACTCATTGCCCCAAATTCAGCAGGAAATAGTTATAGAAGACAGACACTCCGCCCTTTTCCTTCTGCCCATGGATATGTTGGCTGCCAATTGTCATCCAAAATCAAAGAGTGGGGAATGTTAGGAGACTGTGCGTGTTAATATATATAACCCCCCCAGTCATTTTTGTATCTTACTTCCGGGTTCTTCCCCTACTTTAAGTTTCTCTTTCCCCGAAATTACCTCAGCAGTCTGACGAAACTAGAGCTTCCGCAAGGCGCGAAAATTGAAAAGCAACATGGACTGTGATAGGACAATGAAGATCGTTCCTCCCAGGAAGAAGTCCTCAGTCTCCCACTCTATAAATACCCCAGCACTTCCTCTTCACTCTCTCTCTGCCTTCCTGCCTCCTGCTCACCTCCCTACAGTAAAGATCTCCTGCCGGACCTCTCGGTGCATGAGTGGCCTAATTGGAAAGGGGCACCTGAAGGGGCACGCGACCCCCCTTTCATGTTTCAGTAATGTCAGAGACTGTAATTTTGCTATTTTAACCTGCACAGACATTGATACTTTATTACAGCATCCTTAGAAAAGAATTCAAGAATAAATGGCTAGGCTCATATAACACAAGGAGCAGACAGCAGACACAGATAAGAATTTTAATCTCTCCCTTCCAGTTAGGAGTGGTTATGAAAACCTTAGTTGCTATAGTTCAATGTCCTTAATTTTCTGGTGTGATTTTGCTATAACTATTATTGCTATAAAAACCCCTGGAACACTTGAGACACAGAGACAAAGGAATTTTTCAGTCCACTACTATGTCAGCAATTATAAGGACTTTTGTTGCTTTTTTTTATTTTTTATATTTCTGTATTGGGTATCAAACTTGGGACCTTGCCCTTGCAAAGCAGAGGGTGGAACTGCTGAGCTAAATCCATGGCCCAAGGACTTTTGTTGCTTATATCCAAAAGTGGAGAAAAATTTCCCCACATGAGTGGAGTAAGACCCACCCAGTGCTTTCCTAGTGATCTTTTAAAAATAATAGAAAATAAAATAAAAATAATAGAATCTTATCCAATTCATAATATTCCAAGGAAATCTTTGTTACTGAATTTTTCTCACCTTCTAATTTGTTACCTGAAATTCACTTAATTCACTGTTCCAAGAATAAATTGCAGTCAAATCTCGAATTTGACTGTAAGAAACTTGATCTGTGAATGTTCTGCCAGATGACCAAAGATTACTAAGAAATTTCAGCATGATAAATGAACAATGTGTCTAATAAAGGTAGTATGTCAAGTCAAGTGTCACATAATCACAACTGGTTCTTCTCTCTCATGCTGCTTTGGTATATAAGTGCTTTAGATTATGAGCAGAATTAATTACTCTTGCAAACCAAGGTTTTACTGTAGTTTTATTGCTACATTCTAAAATAGTCATGTAAATAAAAGAATATACATATTAACATGGGTTAGGGGTGTTATCCATATATGAGACTGTGGAGAATATTGTGAAAAATAGATCAATGCATTTAAGATGAGAATTTAGACTTCCCAGAACTTGAGGTGAAGGGCCTAGGTCTTGAGTTATTCTGAATCAAGTTTACCAGTTTCCAATCTGCAATGGACATTTTCCTGTCCCAGTTCTGGTACAAAATTTATGGAAGGCTAGTTACAGATGGAAACAAAACTGCTAGGCAGAGAAAATATATGGGAGAAATGATTAAAATCCTTCAGAACTAGGTACTAAATTAAAAATAAATGCACATGTCACAAAGAAGAAAAGCAGGCAATGGGTTGTTAGTAGCTGAATTCACTAAAATTAAACAATATTGGTTAGGTACTCTCAAGATGAACAGTGTATTTCAGTTCTTCAAAGGGATAAAGAATTTTAAATTTTTTATATGATAAGAAGAAACAGTAGTTAGTTGGTGGTTATGATAATCAAAATTACCTAGCTATGACACATTATAATTAAAAATCATGGAAATTAAATACATTCTGATGAAATAAAGTCTGTATATTAATTGTACAGATAAAAACCCTGGAACCAACATTAACAATCCTAATCAGAGAATTAATTGGCACCTGGAGTGCAGTGCTAAGGAATTTACTGAAAACACAGAAGGAGAAGAGAGGAAAAACACAAAAGAAAATAAGAAATGGGTAAGATATCTTGAGTAATTTCAACCACTAAATAGATTCTATAAGAGAACAGAGTGGAAGGACAAAAGTCTAAATTCAATAATAATAATAATAGCTGAAAAGTTGCCTAAAGCTAGTTCCTTGCTCTCCCTCCAACCTCATGTTCACAGGTGGTTGGTCAAGAGGACTGCAAGCATAGGAAGGGCCAGCAGAGTAGGTTCCCAGGCAATAGAACAAGACTCAGGCACATTGTGGACCAGAGCATGCTTCCAAGACAGTGCAGAGACCCAAGCTCAGAACCCTTGGGGCTGGGAGGTGATCTGGGAGAGAGGGGTTCTGTAGGATACAACTGTGAAGGCTTTGCTGCTGGGTCTGTCCAACACCAGCAATTCCGGCAGCCTGCTCCACTCCAGAATGTGCACCCACAACCTCCCACCTGGAGCCTCATTTGCATGATCACATGCTAAACATGAGGGCTGAGATGTTTATGTGGCTGCAGCCTTGAAAAACACAGCCTGGAGACAGCAGAGCACAGGTGGGGGCACTCACAGTAAAATAGATTCTTTTGGCCCCAAAGTGTCAGCCCTCCTCTCGCCAGCAGCACATTTTCAGGAGTCATTATGTGGCACAAAGTGGAAATGTCAACCCTAACCCCCACCCCACCTCTGTGGCAGATGCTATGCATGCTGTGGTTCACAGCAACTCCACATTTAAATTCATGGCCATTTTCCTGTTGGGCTCAGGCAAGCAGTGAGCTTTCACCTAGAGTCCTGACCCGGTGTGTTGAAAGCCCCAGGCCGTCAGGATGGAGGGGTGCAGTCCGAGGTGAGGGGGCCCTGGATGGTGTGAGGTGACAGCAGTGCAGGGTTCCAGGTCAGGTCTGCCAGCCTGTGCCACCCAGACCTCCCCTCCCTTTCTCCATAGAGCCCCAACCCTGGGCCCCATCCCTGCGTCTGCTTCCCATGAGAGCCACCCTGTGACGCTTTTATATGGGCCCCAGGACAGCGCATCACAGAGCTCACAGGGTAGGAAGGACTACCTTGCTCCTTGACTTCCCCACAAAGACCAGGGAGGGCACAGAACTGGAAACAGCTGACATGCCATAGACCACGGTGCAGGCTGCATTTGCTCTCCCTTCCGCTTGTGAGATTTAATTAGTGTGATCGCTAATGAATGGAAGCTAACAGTGAAAATCAAGTTGGTGATGCCTAGGGAATGGGGCACTCCAACAGGGCTTGGAGCCCTAGCAGATCAGAAGGGCGTCCCGCCCGCGAACACGCGAGGGCGCCAAAGGACAGGAGAGCGGCCGGACGGCTGAAGAGCTGGGCCCCTGAGGACCGGAAGTAGGTGGGGAGTAGGAGAGTTCGGGGGATGGGGGAGGAGTCTCAGGCTGGAGGGCTGGACGTCGCAGGTGGGAGGTGGAGAGGTTGCTGGGGAGACGGGAATCTGGGGTGCAAGGTGGCGAGGAGCTGGAGTAGGGGCGGGGGGAGGAGAGGAGGGAAGAGAAGTCGAGGGGATCAGAGTTGAGAGGCTGGGGCCCAGGAATCAGAGTGGCCGGGCGGAGTGCAGTTCCAGGAAAGGTCCACATCACTCTGGAGCTCCATCCTGCCTCAAGGGATCGTGGAGTGAAGACCCCCGCCCTCCCCTTTGAGGGTGGTGGAAGGGAACTCAGCATAGGGGAACACTGGTGGGGTCCACAGGAGCCCCAGCTAAGCCACAAGGCCAGCTGAAGGTAGTGGGGAGTCCCCAGGAAAAGCATGAGCTGTGCAGGGGATTGGAGGGAGGCCCCGAGTGACTTCAGGCAGGTCCCCTGCTTGGAGATGTCTCTGCTGTGCCCACTGGAACAGTCTCCCAAGTCATAGGGCACTGGACACTGTGGTGTGAGGACCTACTGGGTAAGGGAGGAGGAGATGGGGCTGGGTGCTAAGTGAGATCACCCAACCCCAAGAGCCTTCCCAATGGGGCGGTGTATCTCTGCCCAGCAGATCCAAGCGCCCCTTTGCTGGTGGGAAGAGGGCAAGAGTGGCCTGGGCCACCACGACTGGCCCTTGAGCAGGACAAACTTCTGTCACAATGTGGCCAGAGTCCTGCATGGCAGTTATTTAGGTCCTCCTTAGGGCCCATACCTGTTACCTCCATGCTAATGGCTGTCGCCCAGCTGGCCTCATGGAGCTGGCACCTTCCAGGCTCAGATGTCTCAAGGTTCTGGTGGGTCGTCTGAAAGACCCTTAGCCACCTCCCCAGACCTCCAAGCACACTATGGGATCCAAGTCAGATGAAGACCACTGCTCAACTTTCCCCTTCCAAAACCTCTGCAATCACAAAAGTCACCCTTGTCTCAGAGCTTGGGTCTTCAGGCAATCCCCACCCTCCCAGGAGAGGAAAGACAGGATGACTGGACACAGCCTGGCTGGAACCCCCATGTGTCCCACCCCTTGCTATGGAAACTGAAGTCTCCCAAAAGGGAAACCTAGAGGTGATCCTAAGAGGCAGGAGAATCTCCTGGATCAAATGCAAACACACAGCAAGTGGGAGGTAGGGGTGATCTTTCCTGGAGTGGGCAAGAGTCCGGCAAGGGGCCTGCCCCAAAACCCTGTGTCCACACAGCAAGGACACTGACTCCTCCTGGGAAGAAAGGCAAGGTTGGCCCCAGATGCTGAGCTTGGTTTTTATTTGTTGAGTTTAACACACATTTACAGTTCACAAGACACTCACAGTGGGCATTCACAAAATCAGAACTCATGTCAAGAAAGGGACCAAGGACACAGGACAGGAAAGAGGGCATCAGTTGCTGGCTGTGGGGTGGGGACATTTTCCCAGGGTGAGCCTCTGGAGGGTATGGTGGGGCTGCCAGAGCGGGTATCAGGCTCCTATAGGCCAGCGAGGTTCAGCTTGTACATGCAGAGCAGCCACAGAGCACAGATGGTCACAGACACCCAGACCCAGAAGTCCTGGTGGCGCTCAGGGCGGGGCCTGCGGTGGACCTTGCGGGGGCTGGCAGCTTCCTCCCCGATGGACTTGCCAAATCCGGACCTCAGCCATCTCCTCTTATAGTGGTGGAAGGCGAGTAAGCCACAGCGCTGGGGATCACCAGGGCCCATGCTTCCTGCCATCCTGAGGACTGAGGATGGGATGGTGATGGAGCCTTGGGTGGCAATGATGGACACTGGGCCTTCTGCACTAGCTCCCTTATCTCTGCCTCTGGCGATGTCACTAAGAGAGTCCTTGCCTTGGGCGTTGTCAGTAAAGGTGAAGGGAAAGATGACAGAGCCCCCCTTGCTGGCAGCACGATGCCCCATGCAGGTCTCCAGAGGGGAATTGTGACCATCAGTGGCCCGGCTCTGGCCTCCATCTCCCCTCCCGCTGCCTTTGGGGATGCGGTTGAGGGTGTTCCGGTCCCTGAAGATGCTGGTTAGAGATAAAGGGAGAGTGACAGAGCCCTCCCCATTGGCCAGCAGGCCAATGACATAGGACACAGAAGGAAAGGCATTCCCAGGAGCCAGGCAGCCAGCACTGAAGGATATGGGGCCCTGGCCCTTAGCCATGCCAACAGGGCTGGGTGGGGAGTCCTGGCCTCCAAAGAGGAAGCCCGGGAACTCAAAGGTCTCCAAAATGCTGCCCTGGCCAGGGAAGACAGGAGCTCTGAAATGCACTGGGATGACCTGCCCCTCAGGCACAGCCCCAGAGCTTCCTGCCAGGTAGATGGAGCCCTGGCCAGTGACCTCCCGAAGCACTACATGACTATGGCCATCCAAGGTATCCACAAGGGAGAAGGGAATGGTGACCATGGGGTCACCCTGGTCAAAGAAATCGCTGTTCTCGGAGAAGGGATCCTCCATGAAGTCGATCATTAGGATGGGGATGGTGACAGGTTTGGGGTCCCTGGCATACTTGGCCAGGGGGCCTCTGCCAGGGCCAGCTGTGGTAGCCTTACCACCCTGTCCAGAGCCCCTGCTTTCCCAGGCTTCCATGCTCACGGCCACGAGCCCTGCAGCAGGCTCGGGCTCTGTCTGGAGGAAGCAGACACCCAGATCACAGGCCTCGCAGCCATCCCCAACACGGCTCTTGGAGCCCTGTCCTGGGCTGTCCCCATAGCAGGTCCGCAGTATGTGCAGGACCAGCTCTCGGACAAGAGGCCGGATGTGGGAAGGGCTCACGTGGCATTCCCCAGGGGCATCCGGTGGGCACAGCCTGCACTTTGGGCCCCATAGGCGCATCCGCACATGCCCTCGGCGGTAGTCCCTGTCCCACCATAGGCGGAAGAGAATGCGCACATGGGCAGAGCTCCAGGTCCAGGGACAGCGGTTGCACTGGAGCCTGTGGGGAGAGGGAAGAGGTGAGCAGAGGGGAAGGAACCTTGAGCTATGAAGAGACCCTACAATGAGTCCTCAGGGCTCTGCTGGGGCCCCAGCATCTGGCTGCCTGACACTCCTGGTTGGTCCCACTTCCCGTGCTCAAACTTCAAACCTCACCAAGCAGAAAGGTGGGCTGGAGTGGGCCTGTACCTCCTCCCTCTGGGCACGAGCTCCATATCCCTGGGGCCCTTGCCTGCTGCCTGAAGCCCCATGGTCTGAGGGACTGAACACAAATGATTCCCACTGCTGACACAGAATCGGCCTGCTGACATCTGTGACCTCTGCTGCTTGTGGCTTGGGGTTAGCAGGTGTCAAATTCAGCCCACCTCAGGTGGACAGGGTAGGACAGAAGAGTGAGGCCCAATGGCCCAGCTCAGTAGGTGAGGTGCTGGGAGGATGAACCTTGACAGGTCTGTATTCCAAAAGAAGGGGCAATTCCATCTTCCACCCATCAGCTGAAGGAAACTAATTTAAGGGCACCTGCATGCAGAGCATGGGAAATTTCAGGGAACCCAGGGCTGGTTCAGGCTGGCACAAACCCACAGAGGAGTATTTATGACTCTCACAGTGTTTGCCAGTTGATGGGAGCAAGACAGCTGGGCACCTGTCCCCTTGATCCAAAGAAGCCAAGCTCAGGACCCCAGGGGAAGGGACTGTGCTGAATGCCCTGAGAGGTCCCTGGACAGCTCCTGGCCATGCAGGGAACCCTCTTCCCCAAGACCCTGTGGTGCCCTGCTGCACAGCTTCGGCCTTCTGGAAGCCTGCCTTTGTGGGGGCTTTGAGGTGGTGGAATTGTCCTCCACCCACATGGACATAGGTCCTGCCTGAGGGATGAACCTTCTGACCCCCTTAAATCTAATCCTTGAGCTTGAGCAGCAAGGAAGGAGCTGGAGTGTTTCCTGCCTCCCACCCCTGTTCCTGGCAGCCTGCATGGGCCCCACCCCACCATGCTAGGTCAGCTGTACATCTGGGCTCTGAGGTAGCGATGCCTCCCAGGAAGAGGCGTCACTACCCCAGCACTGAAGCAGCAGGACCTAGCACACTCTTGCTCCATCATTTCAAATGCTGAGGAGCCATGGCGTCTATATCAAAGGGCAGAAAGAAAAAAACACCCGCTGCCAAGGGGCCCACAGAGCGATACTGGCCAGCAGTCTGAGGGAACACTTCAGAAGGACTTGCAGGATGGAGAAGCCCATGTCATGGGCCATGTCCCTGCTACACTGATAGTGGCTATCATCACGCCAGGTGTAATCCCCTACCAAGCCCCACTGCAACCCAAAGCTAGGCTGGCTGGGATGGCTCTCCAGTTCCCCAGGCCAAGCACTGCCCAGCTCCCCACTGCCCACAAGATGCCACCTCAGTGCCTGGAAATATAAGACCTGCACATCTGAGGGCAACCTTGGCAACAGGAGCCAGACTGAGCAGAACAGACTCCAACCCACCCACCTCCATTTCCCAGAAGGGACCTCAAGCACCCAGCCCCACCCACCTGTTGACAAGACCAGGCCAGGAAGAAGCCCTGTTTCTGGTCCCAATGATACCTGCCCCCTTGGGGATCAAGCCCAGCTAGGGGTGATAGGAAACATTATCAGCCCACTCCCAGGACCCCCAGCCCTTGCCGCACCTTGAAAGCCCCTTCAGCCAGTACTGGAAACCACTGCTGTCCAGGTGCCCGGTGACCAGGTTCTCCTGGGGATGCAGAACCCAGAGGTCCTGGGGCTTCCTCTCAGCCATGAGCTGGGCAAAGGTGTCCACCCACACGTCTGTCCCAGGCCTGTCCATGTTGCTGCCAGGCTGCGCAATGCAGGCTGACCCACTCGGACCTAGTGAAGTATCCTGCATCCGGGTGTCAGCCAATCAGCTGCCTTGACAACAGCACGATCTCCGTGGCAACCGGGTTTGTCTCAGAAACAGGAAGCAGAAAGGAAAATCACCGCATGACAAAAATCACCCAGGATCCCATCACCCAGAGATCATCAATCAGCATGACGCAGTGGGCATATTGGCATCTGTGTACATGTCCCCGCACCTTCCTGTAAATACATTCACTCTCATGAGTAGGATGTCATGGAGACACACCTGTGGAAATCCTCCACTCTGCAAAGCAGGCCTCAACAACTATTTTAGGATATTCATCCAGTGGCCAGAGTGTGGTCTCGTCACAAGTGACTGTTTGCCCCACACCCATCATGTCACAAGGCTGTCAACCCTATGCCAGCTCTCATCCACTCTTGCTGAATGCCACCAATCCCACAGCCCTGGCACAGGTCTGCAGTCACAGAAACGCTTGCTCGCAAGTCCTTTTGTGCAGTCCCCTCTTGACCCCTGGCCATTTCTCATAGCATGTATTTCAATAAATTTCCTCCTGGTGAATTCCTGAAGCCAGCTTTATGCTGCCCACATAGCAAGTGGTGTTCCCACGTGCACTCTGAGGATCAGGTGTTCTACTCCCAGGCCATGAGTTGTCCTGCCTCACCATGGAGCTGGGTCATCCCCACCCTAGGCCCCAAGGCCCCAGCCTGCCCCTGCTCTTTGCTGTCGGGCCAACTGCTGCCCCATGTGGTGGTAGCAAAACCTCTGTGAAGCCCTGGGCACTGTGGATTGAGCTGCTGCTTTTGTGTGTTCTACTGACAGAATTTCATGTTACTCATTTTGTGCATGTGCCTGGCTCCTCCTGGCTTTCCTGGTTCTCTGTGAGACTCAGCCTTGTGTATAACAGTAGTTTCTCAGAGCACAAGAGTTGGGGACAGGGAAGGCCACCATTGGGCAGAGCGGGATGGCAGTGTGTCAGCCTCATGTGTCAGGAATGAGCTCAGAGCAGAGTGGCCCAGGAAGCCTGCATTAAAGAAGGTGTCCTGGGGATGAGGACAGAGTGTAGTGCCTCCTCCATCAGAGTCCCTAGGGTGCTGCAGGGGGCAGTCCCGGCCCTGGCTTGGAAGCACTGAAGGTGAGGCTCTCAGTACCACTCAGTCAACCTATCTGTGGCTGCTGATGGCAGCCAAGGTGACCAAGGTTGTGAGATGCTGGGTTGGGGTAGTGGAAACATTGAACCTACTTTGTCCCTGACACCCACAGGTGTAAAGTTCACACAGACAGCTGCCAGGCAGCCAGCAAGGCCCCATCTCAGCAAGGTCACATCCCCAATCCTTGGAGGTGGCTCAAAGGACAGGTCCCCTGGCTGAGTCAGCAGGCTCCAGGAGACCCCAGCAGGGCTTGTGCAGCAGGAACCCCCCAACACCTGTGGCCCTGGCAGAGGGAAGCAGTCGCTCAGTGAGCCATCTTGCTTGTCCAGTGCAGTCCAGACCCATCCTCTCTGTGTCACCCACCAAACATCGAGGACTACTCCTGCCACCACTTGGCAGGAGGCACCCCTGCTCCAGTCCTGGGCCAGGTCACCAGTGCTCTCTGCCCTACCCCAGGCCCACCTGCCTGCTGCAGACAGATCCTTTTGCCTCCCACCCTGCTCCTGTACAAGCCTCAGGTCACAACCTCTGTTTCTTTAGCCCCAACTATGTCAACATGCAGAATTAGCAGAGCTATCCCCAAAGCCATCCACACTTCCCAAGGCTGGGCAGATGCTGCCCACCTCCATTCGGCCCCAGATCAAACACAAGATCCCCACCTGCCCTCCAGTCACCCCCCTCTGCCCTCTCCCTGAATGGTCACCTTTCATTTTCCTGCCAGTTCACCAACTCCCTGTTCCTCTTTGTCCAGTCTATAACCAATCCAGTCCAGGGAGTTTTTTGTTGTTGCTATATTTTTCACCATGAAACTTCTTTCCAGTTCCCTTTCAGACACAAGGCATACTCCTCCCCTGCTGTTAAGCATGGCAACAAATATGAGAGGAAATCTCAGGGATGTTCTCCTAGAAAGGCTCCTTAGTACAGGGTCACATAGCTGGGGCAAGCCCCACTGCTCTCTCCTCTCACTTTCTTCTGTTCATCAGGGCAGAGACAATGACCAGTGCTCTAGCAGCCATGAGGTAGGTACTCTTGAGGCTGGAAGCTAAGTCCTGAGGGAGCAGAGCACCAGAAACTCGGCCTCCCATGACAGTTGGCATCACCACATCACTCCTGGGTCACCTACCTCCAGATGTCCAGTTCAAGTAAGAATGTGCCAGCTGCTGTGTTTCCTGCTGTGGTCTCTGGGGTTCTGATCATCACCTCACTTGACTGAAACAATTAGAATGGAACCCTAGGTCCTGGGGTTGGTTGGTTGGTTATTTTAGGCCAATGTGTGAAGTCCCTAAAGGGTCTGGTCACAGCCACACAAGGTCCAAGGGGACAGCTGATGCCCAATTTTTTCCTCAGCCTCAGTCCATGTACCTGGCTGCTTCCCCACCACCCACCTGCCCAGAGTCTGTTTCACTGCAGGCCTCATGGTTCCTGAGACCTAGTCAGGCTCAATAACAGGAAAAGCCTTAGGGATAGAACTGGCCACCACCAAGAGCAGCCTTGAGGACCCCAATGTTAGCCCTTAAGACATGCAGGGAGTGACATGTCCCAGACACTTGGAGAAGCCTTGGAGAAACAGCAGCATACACCCAATTAGGACCCAGCCCACAGAGAGGCCTCGCAGAGGCCATTTCCATGCCAGCCAGCACAGTGGCCACCCACAGATGTAGTCCTGGTGTCCTGTGGCCTCTGCTTCAAGTCCCTGCTGCAGGTCCCTACCATGGCCAGAGTCAGAAAGGGGCAGGGAGGGGTGGTAAGTCTTCATAGGGAACACTGGACACAGCTTTCCAAAGAGTCAGCAAGGACAGCCATGCTTCTGGGCAACCACACAGCCAGCATGTGAACTGGTCCAGGATCTGTGGGGCCAGGGGCCCCAGGGTGGCAGGGCCTAGCCCCACTCTATTCCTAGGGACACTGCTGTAGAGGAAAGACAACCTCCAGCCCTGAGGCCATGGCGCAACTGCACACAGCATACTCATCTGCACATTCCTATACATGCGCACACACTCATACACACATACATGTACAAGTACCCACACACAAACCCCTTTGAAAATTGAAGCTGTAAGTGCACACTTGCACTACTGAGCACACTCTAGGAAGTTACGAAGTAGCAGAGAGGGGGGCAGGAACCACTTATCCTCTTCTCTGGAGCCTTCCATCTTGTATAGGATAAAGTGTGGGAACACTCCATTCGGTTTTTTAAAATTCAATTCCTAAATTGGCAGATACATTATCTGCTCTCTCTTCAACTTCTGGGAAATGTTTCAGACACATGATGAACAGAAAGTTTTTATTTGCAAACACTATTAACCATTTCCTGTTCCAACCTCAAGGCACCTGTGAATCAGGCTGCATCTCTGGCCAGGCCTGTGTGTCCTGTGGGCGGCCACGCCTGGATGGGACTCACTAGGCTGGGGCGCTGGTTGGGGCCCTGCTGCCACCCACATCACACCACACAAAGATAGTTTCAGAGTAGCCCTGTTTCCTGCACTTCCCTAGCCTGTCCCCGTCCTGGGGATGGAAACTTCCCGCTGCCTCCAGAGCACTGGGGATCCCCAGTCCCCCATTTTCCACTCTCCACCTGCACTGGCTCGTGGTTTCTAACCTTAAGGCTGACGCCTTGGAAAATGGAGGTTGGAGATCCGGGGGAGACTTCTCTGGGGGCCCAGGAGGGTCTCAGACCTCAGCCTCTTCAAGAGGGATACTCCAGAACCTCCCTGCACAACCACAGGGGGTACATGCTGAGGGGCTGTGGGACTGGCCAAGGCGCACATGTCCCCTGGGCATCCTCCAGCTGTGGGCTCAGTTCCCTGTCCTCACTGTGGTCCATGGTATGAACCATCCGTGTTTACTGAGTCACCCCTGCCCCACCCTAGCACATCTGGTGGACTCCAGTTCCTGGGGATCATGAGGAAAACCACTGTGATGTCCCTGTAGGTCTGGCTGTGAGCCCCAGCTTTTCTTTCTCAGTGTGTTTTCAGAGTTTGGGGTTGTGGTGCCCTGAGTCTGTGTGGCAAGTCTGGTACCACGTCTCTCTTCACTCCAGCATGCCACCCTGCAGGCACAGGGAAACAGTAAGACCAGGCAGTGGGACAGAGTCTTGCGCTGGTACAGTGCTGCCTGTAGTTCCACAGATCCCTGGAAAGCAGCAGGCAGAGTGCACCAGGGCTCTGCACAGCCTCTTGCAGGGTGGCATATGGCACCAGGGCCTCTGCTGAAAGGGTGACATGCCCCAGGAAGACGCCTGCTCTCCCAGGCCCCCCCAACCATGGTACTATCTGGCTGCCCCATGCCCAGGTCTGGAGGGTACAGGTCCCTGTTAGGAAGAGGAGCTGGGGAGGATGGAGCCAGCCTCAACTCCCCTGGGTCCTGCCCCTATCATGGAGGAAGGCTCCAGCCAGTGCTGGATCCTGGGGTGCAAGCAGGGGTCCTGACCAGAACCCACCCTGGCCCTGTGGGGGGCCGATTGCCCTGATGTCCTGAAGGCTTCACCCACGTGGCTGCAATGTGAGGCCAAGAGTGGCCTTGGTCACCTCATTCACAACGCCACTCACTGCTGCTTCTGATGCTCTTTTTCCATGGCTGCCACCCTCCAGCACAGCATTCAATTCTTTCTCACCTCGGCCTGTCCAGTGCCTCCCACTGGGGCAAGGCTGGCAGGCAGTTTCCAGCTCACAGGTTATTTCTTAATTTCAGCTTCATCACTAATAGCAGCAGTTTTATTCCTCCTGCTTTCCACTTTGTAGTAACAGCTTCAAGCAGGGCACAGTGAAACAGCTGAGCCGCCACACAAAGGATGGAGAAGATAGTGTGGGGGGAGGGAGTCCAGGGGAAGCTTCCCACCGGGAGGCTGAGGCCGCAAACCAGACTGGGGCCTGGTGAGGCCCTCAGAGGCAAAGGAACATGGCCCAAAAAGGGTCTCAACAGAAGACAGTGGGCCATCTAGGGAGCCCACAGGAGCGGGGAGTGCCCCACGGAGACAGCCTTAAGAGGAAGGGTCTCAGGTCCACAGAGCCCAGGCACTCAGCGCCCCCACCAGTTCCCAGCCCAGAGGGTCCTCAAGCACAGCTGCTCCTCTCCCTGCCCACTAGACCTCTCAATGGTTCAAACCGGAGCGGGCTGGTCTGCACCAACTCAGCAGGGGGGTATGGATGGGGGGACAGAGAGGGCAGCTCATGGGGAAACAGGAGGCAGCCACAGGCAAGGAAATAAACAAAAACTGCAGCAGCAGGGTCAGAGCCAGAAAGACCCCACGTGGGGCAGGAAGTTGCTCCATCCACCCTCTCCTGCCTCTGCTCCATCTCTGTCTCTACTCCTGTCGCTGTCTCCTCCCCTCCCATCTCTTCTCTCTCCTTCCTCCAACTCTCTTATCTCCCCTGCTCTCATCCTCTACCCCAACCCTGTCTCCCTCTCCCCTCCCCCCCC